GTGGCAAGGGATGTGACGAGGGGCCGCGGCAAGTTTACCGTCAGGGTGACGAGGGATTGTGATCCTACCCAGTTGACGTCTCTTTGTAAGGGTGCCCTTATTATTTCAATAGTTTTATTTTTTATATGAATTTTTTTATGGCTCACAGTTATTAATAACACCCCAGTTCCGTATTTATTACTACCCGCAAAGTGTTGACGAATGAGTAGGACACTTACACATTACTAAAAGTAGAGGGAGGTCCAGTGAAGATGTAAACCCAATCAACAAAACACACGCAATACCACCGACAAAGTAAAGACAGTGTTTCGGTAGTCTGAAAGGAGGTGAAGAGAGTTCAACTAGTCTCATTCGTACATAGGTTTAGTGAGTACAGTACCACCTCACGTGTGGGAGTGATTGTGTAACAAAAATTTTTTTATTAGACTCAAAACCCTAAACATGTGTTGTAAATTTACACTGTGTAAGTTGCATTTAACTTCCTTCAGAGTACTCGTTGAAAAAAAATCGTAAATCGTCTTATGGGTAGGTCAGCCATCTTCCTCAGACGTGTGGCCTCGTAGAGCATAGTCACTTTTCGTAAAAGTGTGATTGGGTGTATAAATTCAGGAAGTCCTTAATTCCTTTATTAAGACTGCTTGCGTCTGGTCCCTTTAAGGAATTTTACTTAGGCGGACTTATACGGTACAAACCTTCTTGACTAAGGGGTAACTGTTTCTGAAAAAATTTACATAAAGTAGAAATTTCGGTATTAAGGAGTTTCGCACGTCTGAGAGAGAGAAGGAAATGTTGGTATTATTTCGGTACCTTGTGAGAACGCCTGGAGGATCACCATTCTACAGTCTATTCTATCCTAAAAATAGAACTAATTTAATTAGTTTAAGTCTTCGAAATAACAGTTCTGTATTTTGTTTGGCATAACGGTTTTTTTAAGATTATATATGTAAACATTATATATAAACCCAAATAATCAAACTTTAGTCAACACTTCGATATCAATTTATTAGAATTTTATGATTGTAAGAGGGGTGTCACAGGTCTGTGGGACGGACACCAGAAAATGTGCGTTTTATCTGGAATGGAGACGAACAAAGAAAGGGAGGAAGTCAAACCTCCTGGGGCGTTTCAGCGAGGTGACTGTTGTGGCGGGGTGAAGTTAGTCAGGGGTGGAGGGGCGGGAGAGCGGCTCGGGGTGGAGAGGGTGCGACAGTGACTGTGTTCAAGGTGAGCGAGGGGAAGTCGGGTTGGCATTTTGACCCCGGTAGCCTAGTCGGTACTCGGTGCCGGGGACAGCGACAGGGCGCAGCACTTACCCCCTCGGTCGCTCGGGCAGTGGCGGCGGAGGCGGCTCCGGGAGCTGCGGGGGTTCTCCTTGTCGGGCCAGCCTCCACCCGAGAGACCACCTCCACTTCCTCTTGGGGCGGAGACACGCCCCAGTACGGCGACACCCGGAGGGGGGCGGACGACCTCGCGAGCGGCCGCGACCTCGACCACTCGTAACGCCTTCTCCTTTAACTTATGTGAATTACAATTACATTATTTAATGTTATCTTGTAGTTTTTTTTATCTTATTTACTATAGTCAGTCATTGTCCAAATGTAATGGTCCATCCAACTGTGCATGCTCCCTGAAACTGAACCAACAGGCATAATCGGACACCTCGGTAGCACTTGGTCTTCCCGGGACTTGAACTGGTGACCTTCCAGTTTTCTGTTTTGTCATAACAGGAGGCAACACAAATTAGATTCATGATGTTGAGGTATGTCTTTGTTCTGCTTCTAATTCATTGGTGGATGTGTGTCAGTAGGGCTGCTCAATTAATCATATTTTAAATCGCGATTACGATTATGGCTTGCAACGATTACGAAAAAAACGTAATCGAAATAAAACGATTATTTTTTTATTATTATTATTACTTTTTTTATAATTTTTTTTTTTTTGGTTTTTCAGTTGAATAATACTTAAAGTTCCAGGTAATCAACTGTTAAAAACATACTGTTCACATTTTTTTTTCCTCCAATAAATGGATGTTTTCAAAGTCAATTAATAATCGCATTTCATAATCGCAATTACAATTATTGACCCAAATAATGGAGATTATGATTTTTGCCATAATCGAGCAGCCCTAGTGTGAAGTGTGAATAGGTATGCAGTTATACATTTTTGGACGATATATATTTTTCCAGAATGTGATTACGAACAGAATAATTAGAGTTAATATCCAGAGTGCTGTGAGCCTCCACCATCTTCACTACAGGAAACATTATTATTCACAACTGGCACGTATTGGTGATGACATGAGCGAAGTGATTCCCCGCTTAAAAAGAAAGAAAAATGACACAATGGACTTACTGCACCAGTCAGGACCGACACTAGACTTAAAGGTATTTAATAATGCTTTGGCGTGCAAATAGTACTACACAGAGATATTCAAACTGTCTGAAACCAGTTAAGGAGTTATTTGCAGTGCTGAGCATTATTAAAAGCCTGAGGGCGACACCGATTACTCCATGCAGGTGGAACACCACAGTCAAATGGTGATGAAGCACAAGGGTGGTGGAAAGGTCTTTTAAAGCAAGCTACTGCAACAAACTACTGATCGTTGTTTTTATGCAACCCACCTATGGGGCAGACTTTTTCATTTATTGTTTCCCACAATACAGTAATTACAGTACATAACGTACATATACTACACATGCTTTCAGTACGTTTACTTATGTATGGAACTCTATTTCTACCACTTGGTAAAAAATAAAGGGAAATTCAAAATACAAAAACACTCTTTAAATGGTAGCTAATTCAAACATCATATTTATACTAATCTCCCATAAACCACTTCTTTAAGCTACTGATAAAGTATCTCTGTTCACAGATCAGATCAGTTGTGTTGGTGGTATTTCTTATACTAGCCAGCGAGGTGAAGAAGGATGGTGGATTCAGCACCAATGCTTTGTTTACTTGCTGCTGAAATGATAGTAAAGGGATCAAGTCAAAGATATTTCATAATTATGAGGCACTAAAGTATGTTAGGATGCTGTGCCGTGTAATTCAACCTTTAACTAAATGAGAAATAGACTAATGTATAAGTATTTAGGTAAATGATAAACTAATAAGAAGAAATGGGAAAATAATTGCTTCATGTAAGAATTCAGAAATTCGGATTATATATTTTATATATATGTTTTTGATTTCTACAGAATAACCTATACATTGCTGCTGATGATAGTAGTGCTTCACAGCAAGTCAACGTTGTGTGAAGCACTATTTTTTTTAATGTTGGTAGGTTTCTGAGAAATAAAACAGCAGCTAGTCTCAGCCTGCCAATTTCAATGATGTAACGGTACGTCCACACGGTTCTGTCGCGTTGAAGCTTGCCGGTGGGCGTGTCTGGCGTGCGACCAACAACCAGTGGCGGCGCCAGAGTATTTGTGTTGGGTAATCTGTGGTAGGGCTAACACATACAAGTCAGTATTTGCAATGTAATTACATACACGCTATATCGCTCCCCTTGACAGTGAAACGCCACAGGATCAGTTTGTGTGTTGTGGACACGACCCGTATATTTTCGCAAGCCGTGTTCTCAACATTTAGCCTTTTGCTTATTATTTAATTTAATCTGCTGACTTTAACATAATTGTTCATGGTGGGGCTAAGGTGGGGCTAAGCCATTTCTTGGTATGGCTGTAGCCTACCCCGGCCATACCCTGGCGCCGCCACTGCCAACAACCAATCACATTAATCTCCCGCCCCGGACACACAAGCACGTGGTTCGATTGGCTAGACTAGAGCTTGTACTGGCATATGATTTGATTGGCTGACGCTTCCGTCGAAGCTTCAAAAGTTGAACTTTTCTCAACTTTTGAAGCGAGCAAAGCGAAGGGACGGAACCACAATGCAGTTCGGCAAAGCGTGACGTCACCCCGTTCAAAGTGAATGGGAAGCGTCTCCGTTGAAGCACGCGACGGAACCGTGTGGACGTTACGTAACAGGCAGCGATTTTATTCTATGACTTCAACTTGTTATTCTTTAAATCAGTGATGATTTTGAAATGCTAAAAGATTTAGTGTTTATTTGTGCATATTCAGCATGAATACATATAACCCTTTGTCTTGAGTTAACCTTAGTTTTTTAACATCAGAGAGTGGATGACAACTTAAAAAAAATAAACAAAATGATATTATACACACTTAACTCTCCAGTAGATTCACACCACTATTACTGTAGGTTTTAAACTTTTTGGATATTATAGGAAACTTGTTAAAGTAACCTTTTTTTTTTTAAACTAGTTTTATAACAAACCTTATTCATTTATTGTTTTATTATTAGATCAAAAAACTCCACTTATCATTAAAACATTGCTATGTTCCACATTCTTTTAGCAGGTGGGAGGGACAGGTTTCCATACACAACTTTCATTTGCCATTTTGGAGAACATTTCTATTAAGACCAACCCAAAGAACCAGAAAAGATTTGTCTTTTAGTCCAAGAGTTACCCGTCATCCTGCCAATGTTGGGAATTTAAACTTTAAAGCACAAATAAACATGTGCTTTAGTGATTTGGATGATCAAGTAGCTTGTTGTAAACAGTAGCTTGTTGTAAACAGTAGCTTGTTGTAAACAGTAGCTTGTTGTAAACAGTAGCTTGTTGTAAACAGTAGCTTGTTGTAAACAGTAGCTTGATGTAAACAGTAGCTTGTTGTAAACAGTAGCTTGCCGGTGAGAGGGTTGACGTCCCATGAGTTCCCGTTTTTACCTTCATCAATGTACCATGTGCTTTTGGATTTGGACTGGGCGGGGGGGTCAACAGAGCTGCCATTTAAAGTATAGTAAAACTCAGACTTGCTTCTACTGCCACACTGATGACCTAATCCTGTAAATAACACAAGTACATGAAAAAAAACACAGAAAGATAAGAAGAATATGTGTGTGCTGTAAGGAAAGCAGGGTAGGGTAACCTATCGGGAAAAATGTCAATTAATCAGCAACTGTAGGCAGTTTGTCTCCATAAAAGAAAAACAAAAAGAGAAAGCAATCAGAGAACAGATTCACGTCAAATGAATGAAACTGCAACGGGAGTTTCTCATGTATTGAGCAATATGGAGTAAAACCGTTATAATGATTATCTTTATAAAAAGGGGCTTTCCATCACAACTCGTCTTGAGGTTGTTATTCCTAAACTACTTCAAATTTGACAAACGGTTTCAATGAGTTCTCTAAAAGAAAGAAAAGACTTCCTCTTTCCGGAACGAGCCTCAGAGGGATCTTCAGAACTGGCAAATCCCAAATTGTGACATTTCTTTTTTTACTATCTGTACTAAATCACTTTTGTTGGAAAGCCCCTTTTGTCAAGAGTAATCATCACACCCAGAGGTGTGTGTGTCAGTGAGGTGAGTATCGTAACACCGGTGTACCTTTGCTCTTTGGTTTGCTTTGGCCAGAGGACGACTTTTCACTGTTGGTGCCTCTGGGGGCAAAACTGTGCTTTTGCAGCCTTTGGTCCTGCATGGAATAATCTGCACGGCCCAGAAATAGATCCACATTAGAGCCACGACACGCTTATCAGCCTGCGAAAAACTACCATGCAGCAAAAGTCTTCACAGCGCAACTGCAACTTGTGTGCGAATTTACATTGACCTTATTCCATTGGACTTCATGGCTTTCAACGTGTCACTGCGCTTCACACAATTCAGTATCCAATGAGAAGTTCAAAGACCCTATTTTCATGTCCTTCGCTCAACTTTTAAGTTATGACACTGAAGTCATAACATAGCATACAACACTTCATTGACGATGGATGCATTGCTTTAGTTCGGGTCCAGACTAAAGATGTTTATTTAACTGATGTTTTTTACCTTTCACTTTGGACATACAGTACGGTAGGCAGAAGTCACAAAAGAGGATTGCAGCTTCTAGTAACTAAGTACGTTTACTCAAGTCCTGTACTAATATTTAATCATACTTACTTAGTATTTCAATGATATGCTTCTTTATACATTTTGGAAACAAACATTGTACCTTTTACTCAACTACAGTTATATATTTAATATTCTTATGTTTGATTTGATATAAAGAAGAACTATCCTACCAATATAGCTGGTACAAATAATCAAAAATGGTCTCAATATTTACAAACTACATTATTTAAAGGCTATTATGTATTTGTAAGTGAATAATATACAATTCTTTATTAATATAATACTTTAATAACAGAAATTGTGCATAAGGGGTGCTTTTACTTTTGATACTTTAAGTACATTTAGTTGACAACACTTCTGTACTTCTACTTAAATAACATTTTGATTTCAGGACTTTCACTTGTCTTGGAGTATTTCCAGACCAAAGTCTTTCTACTTCTGAAAGCATGACACATTAAAACATTTGATTTGGGTGTAGTTTTGAAACTAGCTGTATTTAGTAATAACACTTGACTTCATGTATTGCTGTTTAGAAACTGCAAGAAGAAGGTTTCAAAGGAAAAATGAATGAACATTTGCTAAATAAAGAATCCTAATGTTATAAAAAACATCTGTATGCGTGTCTGAAAAGTCAGAGAGGCGTCAGTCGCACATATAAACATTCAATATGCCAACGTGGAGAACAAAGAGCCCGAGTATCTCACTTGACTTTCAAAAAAAAAGAGAGACATCAACACAAAAGGCTCTCTGTTCCCGCTGCGAGCAAAACACAAACTCCGAACGCTCAGAGCTGGTTCAAGAGAGGGACAGCTCAATGTTTTCAGAAACAACGCTGGAAGTTTTGTTACAAATTCTACGTGACTCACCTGGCATTACGTCACAGATAGGTACGAGTCGAGTGTGCTCCAAACTGGCAAAATTACACAGCAGCTTCCCATCGATCATACCATCCCAGTCCCCGATGGGATTGTCCTGAAAGAGTTGGAGACATGAGAACCATGTAAACTCTGCCTGGCGTTCTTCATCTCTGACACACACGTGCTTCTTCCCCTCCTACTATCTTCTCCATGCTCTGTATTGTTGTGATCCAAACTGCTCATCAGATGTTCCCCCTGACAGCTCTACTTTCTCCACAGCCACACTATTCTCCTCCCTCAGCTTAAGAATCCAGGACTGGAGGATATTCTACGTGAGCACGGTGCCACTAGCTAGCGGAGGCAGGGCGAGGCTGGACGCAGAGAGGCAGAGCAGTGGGCTCTCCTCACTGCTGGCCCTCTGCCATGCTGTTGGGTCATACAGCACTGAGTCTTTACCTCACTCCCCGCGTGACTGCCTTGCCTTTGTGTGGGTGGCTCAGATGCACTGAGTGGGCTGCTGCTGCTGCTGCTGCTGCTGCTGTTGCTAGTGCTAGTGCTGCTGCTGTTGTTGTTGTTGTTTTAGGGCTGCTCGTTTATGGCAAAAATCATAATCTCGATTATTTGGGTCAATAATTGTAATTGCGATTATTAAATGCGATTATTCATTGACTTTGAAAACATCCATTTATTGGAGAAAAAAAAATGTGAACAGTATGTTTTTAACAGTTGATTACCCTGAACTTTAAATGTAATTCAACTGAAAAACCACAACAACAACAAATTATTCTAAAAAAAAATAAATAATAAAAAGTAATAATAATAATTAAAAAATTATCGTAATCGTTGTAAGCCATAATCGTAATCGCGATTAAAATACGATTAATTGAGCAGCCCTATGTTGTTGGTGCTGCTGCTGCTAACGATCAGCCNTAATTCAACTGAAAAACCACAACAACAACAAATTATTATAAAAAAAAAAATAAAAAAAAGTAATAATAATAATAAAAAAATTATCGTTTTATTTCGATTACGTTGTTTTCGTAATCGTTGTAAGCCATAATCGTAATCGCGATTAAAATACGATTAATTGAGCAGCCCTATGTTGTTGGTGCTGCTGCTGCTAACGATCAGCCGTCAAATGCCTCACTCACAGGAGTCATAAATACTAGCCCTGCACAATTTGGAAAAAATATCTAGTTTGAAAATTAATATTTTAGTTGTGATGATTCAGAATATTGGGGAGAATTGAAATGTTGTGCATATTAAAATGATCATATTGTGATTTATTTAAGAGGATCTGTAGCAAATATAAATTATATTCAAAGTCTATAGAATACAGTTTGTTGGCCAGGATATCAAAGCAGCTCTAAAATACTTAAGCCTTTAACAAATATTGTGTTTCCTGTGAATATAGCACTGCTCGATGTTGCCGTGTCGCTAAAAGTTAGATTAGTTATGCAGCCCTCGTACAGCGGATACCAGCCACTCTGACACCCACAAACCAGACATACTGTAGTGCCACAAGGTACAGAAACATGGTTGTCAGCAAGTCATGATAGAAGATATTTAGTAACATAATTTGCCTCATCTGTTCAAATTGAAACTTGCATGGTGCTGCCCTCTACTGAGGCGGGCAACTCAACATGTGACACACATTACATCATCTCACTTTAGAAACAGACACTTCAATGTAACACTGACCAGGTGATGAGATCTGAGTTCTTTATGAAACACTGAAAGCATTAAATTATGTATATTTTCCTCCACTTTGTTACCAAATGACACTAAATAAAACACTGTTGTCATGTGAAAGCAATTCAAAAGTTACTGATTGCTTCCAAAACATCGTCAAACAAATAACTCAAACCAATAGTCCAACTAATAACCATAAGAAGTTCTGGTTTTAACCAGTCTATGGTTTTAACACATGGATGAAGTTGTCTTTTATGCTAAATGAGTTAGCCTAGCTGAAATGAGTATACTGTACTTCCCAAAATGTTGAACTGTTGTTTTAGGGAAACAAGTCATCTAAGAGACAGTTTCAGCCCACAGGCCACAAGACTGATAAACATCTGAACTTTTGAAAGAACATCCATAACATCTGTTTGTAACTTATATATCAATATTCAAATGACTTGACTATTCTGCATAACTTCTATTATATTCTATTTTATTTTATTTACTTGCACTGTTGTCTGTGTTATTGTGTTGCTCTGTTGGAGGAGCCTGTGACCTAGGGCTGCTCGATTACGGCAAAAATCATAATCTCGATTATTTGGGTCAATAATTGTAATTGCGATTATTAAATGCGATTATTCATTGACTTTGAAAACATCCATTTATCGGAGAAAAAAAATTGAACAGTATGTTTTTAACAGTTGATTACCCTGAACTTTAAATATAATTCAACTGAAAACCAAAAGAAAAAAAATTATTTAAAAAAAAAAAAAAAAAAAGTAATAATAAAAAAATAATCGTTTTACTTAGATTACGTTGTTTTCGTAATCGTTGCAAGCCATAATCGTAATCGCGATTAAAATACGATAAATTGAGCCGCCCTACTGTGACATAAGATTTTCATTGTCATAACTACACTGTAGCTATGTACACAAGACAATAAAAGCCTTGAAACTTGATTGTCAGGAAGCAAAAAGTTTCAGAGCATAAAATTTCTCAAACTTCACTGAACAAAAGCAGCAGATCCTTTGTGAATTTGTCTATTATTTGTCTCTAGTTATTCAGTTAAGGCGTTACTCACCATGTCTACTCCCACATAGTAGCCCAGGCTCTCATTCCCGGGCAGCAGGTCACAGAAGATGATGGTCCCTCTCTCCGGCCCGTCCCTGGTCTGCACCAGGACCCTGGAGTTGATCTCCAGAGGAGGAAAGTCCTGGTCGTCTTCCACCAGAGTCACGTGGTCCACCTCCAGCTCACCCAAAGCTTCGTCATCGTCATCCTCCCAGAGTTCAAGCTTGTCCAGGGCCACAAACACACCGCACTCATCCTCACAGCGGAAGAGTTGGCGTCCCTGGTAGGATCCCTCGGTGAAGCCCTGGCCCCGGCCCTCCTCCTGGGAGAAGGAAGTAAAGAACAGGGTTCATACACTTTTTCACCAATGACTTCTCCATGACCTCTACCTCATTTTCAATGACCTTTACCTCATTTTCCATGACCAAAAAAATTACTCTTTCTCACCAGTACCACTGAAAATGGTTTATTTTAACATGGAACAGGAAAATAAGGTCTGCATATGAAACATGTTGTGCCTATCTAAAACAAATCCAATAGGCTGACTAGCTTCTACACGCTAAAGCCACTAAAATCTCTCACCAGCAAAATACCTCGTCAGTTAAATGCCATTTTAAGTTTCATTACGATACCATACAGTATTTATTATCATTATAGTATTACTATTTCGACGATTAGATAAAATATAAATTATATTTGATGCAACTTTAATTACATTTCCATGACTTTGGGAAAAACATTGTTTTCCATAACTTTTCCAGGATCCTGGAATTAGCATTTTGAATGTCCATGACTTTTCCAGGTTTGGAATGACCGTAAGAACCCTGAAAGAAAGGATGATAGGAAACAGTGTACAGAAAGAAAAGGAGCAGCAGGGATGAGCAAGTCATTGTCATAAAAAGTAGGGCAGGTAGCGAGGCTGCTTACTCAGCATCCTTCAGGGAAGTCAGCATCAGAGAGTGTATGATCGATTACTGCAGCAGGGATATGACTTGCTGCGATGATGAATGCATTCAAAAAGCTCGGGCACAGATACTAGNTGGTACTAGGATGGGTTAAAAGCAGAGAACAGCTATTGTACATATAAAATAAAAGTTAAAAGAAACAAGTGCACCGAGATAAAAAGTAAGAAGAAAGCTTTTTTTTAAAGTGGGCGTTCAAAAGTATTGAAGGAGCCGTTAACAAAGTGTAAATGAATTGTAAGGAATACATAAGTGTAAATAGCAGAATATGAGAATCTGAATCAGAAACAGGTTTTTTTGCCAAGTAGGTTGACGCACATGAGGAATTAGCCGTGGTGTATTTGGTGCCTACATAAACACAGTTAAAGAGATACAAATTAAGAAAAACAACCCAAAAAATACCTATGACATGTTAGCAGTTGTATTGCACAAACTTACAGGTAATAATATCTGAATAATACCTGTGTTTGTTCTGTCTTCGCCCCGCCCTTCAACCACAGACACACCTGAGAGCTCAGACTCCGGCTTGGCTGTCCCTCAGGAGTCCATCAGACAGGATCCTCCTCTTCCTCCTCTTCCTCTTCCTCCTGCTGCTGCTGCTGCCCCCCCCACAGAGGAGCCTCAGAGCCACATCCTGTCCAGCCTGCGTCTGGAGAACCAGCTGCTGCGGAGCGAGGTTTCCTCCCTCAACCAGGAGATGGTTTCAGTCATCCAGAGGGCCAAAGACCTGCAGGACGGTGAGAGACGAGAGCAAACAGGAACCAGAACCAGAATCTGAGCAGGTTCACACATACAAGGAATTTGCTTTTGTGTATATTGTGCATACATAAGCACAATAAGAGGAAATACATTGTGAAAATAAGAAAATAAATAGATAACTTTTTTTTTTAAGAATTCTGAGAAAAAAGGTTAACATTCTGAGAAGTAAAAAAAAGAAAAGAAGAAGAAATAAACTGAGAAAAAAAGTCAAATCCTTAGAAAAGTTAAAAATTAAGATTAAAATGAAAGTTCTGAAAAAAAAATTGGAATTCTTAGAAAAAGTGAAAATTCCTAAAAAAAATTAAATCCTGATAAAAAGTCTCAATTCTGAAAAAAGTCAAATTCTTAGGAAAAGTCAACATTCGTAGAAAAAAATCGGATTTCTGGAGAAAAAATAAATCAAAATTCTCAGGAAAACAAGTCAGAATTCTTAAACAATTCTTAAAAAAGGTGTATGTTCTGAAAAAAGGAACAATCAATCAAAAATCAATTTACTGAGATATAAGGAAATATTCTGACCCATAAAGGTTTACTCTATTTGCTCCTCTCACACAGAGTTGAACCACGCTCGTCTCCGTGCCGACCGGAGGAACTCGGAGCAGTCTCAGAGCGACAGGATGTCACGAGATCTCCGGTCGAAGGTTGATGACCTCACAGAATCGCTTTCTGCAAAAGACGCTCAGCTGGCCGTCCTGAAGGTCCGCCTCGATGAAGCCGATCAGATGCTGAAGTCCCGCAGCGCCGCTCTAGAGGAGGCGCAGAAGGAGCGCTCGAGGTTTGTCCCTCTTCTCCATGTCTCTTCTACATCAACATGTGTCCCCTCTTCTCCATGTCTCTTCTACATCAACATGTGTCCCCTCTTCTCCATGTCTCTTCTACATCAACATGTGTCCCCTCTTCTTCATGTCTCTTCTACATCAACATGTGTCCCCTCTTCTCCATGTCTCTTCTACATCAACATGTGTCCCCTCTTCTNATGACCAAAAAAATTACTCTTTCTCACCAGTACCACTGAAAATGGTTTATTTTAACATGGAACAGGAAAATAAGGTCTGCATATGAAACATGTTGTGCCTATCTAAAACAAATCCAATAGGCTGACTAGCTTCTACACGCTAAAGCCACTAAAATCTCTCACCAGCAAAATACCTCGTCAGTTAAATGCCATTTTAAGTTTCATTACGATACCATACAGTATTTATTATCATTATAGTATTACTATTTCGACGATTAGATAAAATATAAATTATATTTGATGCAACTTTAATTACATTTCCATGACTTTGGGAAAAACATTGTTTTCCATAACTTTTCCAGGATCCTGGAATTAGCATTTTGAATGTCCATGACTTTTCCAGGTTTGGAATGACCGTAAGAACCCTGAAAGAAAGGATGATGGGAAACAGTGTACAGAAAGAAAAGGAGCAGCAGGGATGAGCAAGTCATTGTCATAAAAAGTAGGGCAGGTAGCGAGGCTGCTTACTCAGCATCCTTCAGGGAAGTCAGCATCAGAGAGTGTATGATCGATTACTGCAGCAGGGATATGACTTGCTGCGATGATGAATGCATTCAAAAAGCTCGGGCACAGATACTAGATGTTCTCACAAAGCGTGGCGTAACAGATTGTGCTTCTTTTCTCACACGCAGGCTTTACAGTGGATAGCGTCATTTCTACTTGGTAAGGGCATAGAAACAGAGTGGTATCTGAAGCATATGTGCTGCTCTGAGGCCGCAGCTACTGTCTGCCCACTCAGGAAGACTCCAGCTGGACTCAGGAGAATAACAACAACTTTGTGCTGCGATAAGCAACCCTTTGTATTGTGTTACTTACTGTACGGCATGAATGGCATCACATACGCACGTTAGTATCCAGATAAAAGGAACAGTTAACAGGAACTCAAATCTTATCAAAACTTTTGCCGGATCAGCTTAGTTTGAGTGTTCTCTGAAACAACATTTATATTTGTCGATCTCCACATTTTAAAAAGGTTAGAGAAAGACCGACATTCGCAATCAATGTGAAGGACATAACCCACGAACAACAGAGTCCGACGCTTCGACACCTACGTAATTTAATCCTGCGTTTTCCACACGTCAAAATAAACACGACGGGCGATGAGATGTGACATCCCTATAGCAACTGTCCCACATGTGAATATTTAGCATTTCATTCTGCCATGGAAGCTCTGCCTTGTGCTGGTATCGACAGGAAGCTCCACACAGAAACCAAAATAGCTCGACAATAGTCAGCAAAACGATTTGTTTCAGGGTTGCATCAACAACAACAACAACAACAACAACAAGTGCAAGCTGACAACGCAGAGATGAAAGCAGAGAGACGCGGAATAAATCTATTTGCACTCTTTGCAGTTACGCCCTTTTATGTATACTAAAGTCAATTGAGCCTAAAATAGCAGACTCACACTCCAGGAACAAATTGGTTGCTCACAAGATCCCATACTTCTTATCTGCTTATTTATTAGGTACAGGAGTACAAACTCTTTATCGCATTGCAATTACCCTGATCCCTTTTTCAAGTGAAGGCTATGGGTCAGAGCACATGGTCTGTTACTCATAAAGACAGATAGTGTGTTTTACTTGCAGGACTATGTGCAGCTTTAATCATTAGACAGGATATAGGAAGTGTGGGCCAAGTATAATCACCCAGCTCCACGATGCTGTGAAGAACAGTCTAGTGTTCCTGTCTCCTTCATTTGTATCGGAGACAGTTAGACAGCTGTCTTCTCTGGGTTAACGGTGATTAGTAAGAACAATATGATCCTTCATTTCTGACAGCTGCTTTGACACGATTAGTCTCCTGACATTAAAAACTCTTAACTCAGCGCCGCAGAAGTGTTTGGTTGTAATTCTGCTTTGTAAATAATTAACTTAATTTTTAATAATCAAGATTTACAAATATTTACAGAGGGATATTTTCCAATTTTTGTTCTAAGCAACTTAAACAATGCCTCTAATATGATGTTATATATATTTTCACTGCGCGAGAGGTCTCAGGGATCATAGAGGTCTCTTCCACTTTTACCCCATTACATGTGGGGTTTGTTTGGAAGTTGTGTGAGGGACAGAGGGTGTCGTATCCGTATTCATATTCTGTACAAACTGTATAGTCCCCTGAGACCAACGTAACATTGTTGACATTGGGCTATATAAATAAACTTTGATTGAAACCTTGAAACACAAAACACCCTTGTCTACTTCTTAATAAAAGACTCAAAAGACACAAGTTCTCACCAGCAGCTCTACTCCGAACCAGATTCCAGAGAGCGCTCTATCGGGCAGCAGCGAGCCTTTGAAGCGGACCACCCCGGGCAGAGGTTCGTCCCCCGAGCGCAGCTGGACCCTCACCTTGGACCCACAGTCAATATCACGCACTCGCTCCAGCCGGGACTTGTTGCAGAGCAGGGCGTAGCGCTCCTCGCAGTTTGTGATGGGGAACAGCAGCTCTGCCAGCTTCTCGTCCAGCTCCAGGACGTCCCGCTCGTCCAGGCTCAGCACCACGTTGGTCTGGTCCAGGATGCGGAGACTTTTCTTGCCCTTGTTTGGAGGCAGCGTTCTCCCCAGGCTGTTGCGCTCCTGGCAGGCCTGACCGAGGCTGCCGCGGGGGATCCTCAGGGTCTTCTGGGGGGTCTTCTCCACCGTACACTCCTTGATGACCATGTAGAAGCGCCAGTCCTCCCTGAAGCCCCCGCTGGGCTTCTCCTGGCTCCACAGGGCGGAGCTCATGGCTGCATGCTAGGCAGGAGGTCCAACATCAAGGCAAGCTTGACCTGCGGGAATTATGAGAGGAACATTTATTTATTAGTTTGTTTGATGACTTAAAATGCGTTATTCCTCAGCCCTCTGTATGCACATTTGATTCCAAAACAAACGATACAAATTGTTATCATTAAATCTGAGATTCAATAACTGTCAATTCTAAAATGAAATACTGAGTTCAGTCCCATATTAAATGAACTTGAAAGGGTTTTGAACATATTGTCTTCTGTGATTGTAATGTTCTGTTCCCTTGTTTCTTCTTTTAAGTATTTTTCAGTGTTAGTATTGCATACGGAGCAGCTGTGATAAAAAACCTGACAATTAAGTTATCATATTGTATTCGTTGGAATGTATAAACTACTATGGTTTAATTAATGAAGGAAATATTAGTATCACAACCTGATAATGATGAATGGTGAGTACAGAAATGAAAGGGCGAGACTCGTTCATACATATCATGAGAACTTGTGAATCAATAATACTACCATAACGCCATCAGATATTTTAATATATGGTGGTAAATTCCAATCTGATTGGTTGTTGTGGTTTGTGATGAGAAATCTAACATCTCATGGTGATCTCTACTGCCCAGTCACACCTGCTCAGTACACCAGTTTTTCTTAGCAAGCCCTGTTGTGACATTACTCACATCTACTGATTTGATTGTCCTAAAAATAGTGAGCAGACGGTTGACATTTTCTCACAACCTCCTCTACCTCAAATACCAGTCAATTGGATTTCCCCTGATGACACCTCAGATATGATTATGTACCACAAGACAGTCAAGAAAGAGCACACTACATCCGTCCTTTGTTCGAACAATGCTAACTAACTAATTCAATTATTATACTGCTGTTTTCAATAAATGTGTATAACGTGTGCTAACCACATGTTAATATTTATGCAATTACACAGCACAGTGCCACACAGGTAGGAAACTGAAAGTAATGTCAACCTGATATGGGCTAGCTAACGCTAACATGATTTGACATGTATTTACCGTGTTTATTGAGATGACAACATGTTTATTAAAATGTGTTGGCATCACTGACTCGTTTTCAGGATCATTTTCCCTGACAACCAGCAGTGTGTCATCACCAGGCAGAAGCTGTCACTCAAAGGCCCTTTAAGAGAGGGAAGTAGCTAACGTAGGATAAAATGCACAAAATACTAATTTCCTTTCAATAAAAACGACATGGAAATCTTACCTTTGCTGTGCGTCAGTTCAGCACGAAGCTACAGATGACATGCCATTTCAAATATCCATCTTATTTAGATACAGGCTTCTGAAAACAAGCTCCCGTAATAACCTCTGATTAGCTGAATGGCTAGCGTCCTGAGAAGCTAAATATCAGGCTAAAGTTAGCATAGCGAGCTGATAAACAGCAAACATGCTGGCAGAAAACTGCCACCCTCTACAGTGAGATTTCAGCATTTAGGTAAATCTACTCTCCATGGGAAATAGGTTGAATAAATACAGTGTATCGCTACAGAAAGGAGATATATTATTTACAGGAGACGACCTCACAAAACTTGATGTGTGACGCCATGCTCTCCCCAACAGTCATTGGTCAGTCGTTTCATTCTCAAGCGCTGATTGGCTGTTCATTGTGTTTGTGTAATCAAGTCCCACCCTCTGGGGTTTTCCCATGAATGGCAGTACACGTAGTTAGGTTGAAGTGTAGATTTCAGGACAGAGGATGCTGTCAGTGGTGGAAGAAGTAATTACTGTGCTTCCTTTTTGTTCAATTGTTTAAAATGTGTACATGTCGTTAAGCTGTGCCGTATATACTTCACATACTGAAACTATGTCCATGTGCTCTGGAAATATGCGTAAATGATGGAAAGATATTTGTGGATTTTTCTTGGATAATGTATGTAATAATGAATGTTCTACTAATCAACTTTTGTACTGTTCAACAAAATACATGAATACTTTTATCCCTTAAAACATGTACTATATATTAAGACAAGCAAACACATTATACATTATTAAAACTGTGAGATTGTGCTTAAAATACTTAATTTATAACTTTTAATATAATGTATTTAATGTAAAGTTCATTTGCTTTTATATATGTGTTCCATTTGAAATATTGCAGTTTTTTACATGATTAAATTGTTAATGGAAAATTAAACATTTAAGTATTTACTGTAATACATTTACTTAAATAAAAAGGAAAAATACATTGTAAAAAAAAAAAGCATTATGTATTAGCAGTCTTGCATTAAAAATGCTTGATGTGCAGAAATTGCCTCCTTCAAAGTATTATACATCATTTTATACTAGGTTACATATTGCATTATTATTAGTGATGAATTCATGTAGTAGAACTAATTGACCACTCCTTTAAATACTGTTGAGATCATCACATGTTTTGGTTGAAAGCATAAATGTAGTGCAATATAACAAACATGACATACTGAGGTAAAGTATAACGTAAAATAGGATAAAATTGTACCTTCCAACCTAAACCTAAAAAAGAAAAAACAAGACACAGTAAAGGTTGATTTAAATATTTTGTGTATTTAGAAAAACTCTGAAAAGGAACATTTTGTCCAAGCACCAAACCAAGATACACAAGAGCTAACACATTTTACTCCTCACATCTTCACATAAAACATTTCATATAATAAATAACAACACAATCTTAATGCAATACAAACAGCTATTGTCTAACTTTTTACAAAATCAGAAGGTAAGTCTTGACTCCCGTTGTTTCATCTCCTCTACTTCCTCCAAACTGAGGTCATTGTTTCTCAACCTGCAGAGTAAATACAAAGAGACACAAATCAATAAATGAAACAGCCAGTTGCACATCCAGTTTGGAAATGGAAATGAAACTTAAAATCAAAATATCAAACGTTGAGCCAAGTAGGATTCAGTATCAACAACCACATATTTTCTTTACAAGGAAACAAGCAGAACCAGTAGCCTATGCCTTAGCCTTAATCCAGAATGTAAACAACCACCAGGCATGCATGAGTTAAGCCACAGAGTAAACATTACGCACCACACTGATTTCACATGAGTGTTGTGTTGCATCGCTTGAATCAGACGTTCCACTCCTGATCTGGTTATGTGGTTCTCTGTCAACCTTTTGAAACAGGAGGGTGGAGCAATGTAAATACTACAGTACTAATGACACAATTAATATTGTGTGGATAAGAATGGCATGGTGTTGTCAATACAAGTATAACTTGTCTCCAACACTTACCACAGCTCTTCCAGTGACGTACAGTTCTTGATGATGTTGGACAGGGCACATGCTCCGGCACTCCCCACTCCATTGTCTACCAAGCTGTCATTACATTAAATTAGAGTTATAATCAGATAAAGTACTCCACAGCTGCAGGAACACGTACTGCTTAAAACATGCTACATTTGAAATAATTTCAGACTTTTAACTTGCTGTTAGACAGCCCTTTCCAAAAGGGAATAGAGCCGTTATCTGTGCTACTTTAAAGCCGCCAGACTCCATTAACAAAAAATACACCTTGCAGAACATGAGGGTTACTGGCCTACCGCTGCCTTGTTATTGAGTGAATTTGGTGGTCCACAATAGCTCTTCAAGACTCTATTGCCACAGAATAACACAAAGTCACTTATCGATGAAGTCAGCGTTAGACCAGCAACTTCTGTGTTCTGCGAGGTCAAATTGTTGCTGTTGTCAATGGAGTTTGGTTGCTTTAAATAGAGCAGGATCCTGGAACGTTGATAATGGAATTTTGTGGCTGCTTCAAAAAAAATACATTGCTCTGCTTTTGTGTTATTACTCCTTTTCGTTTCTGAACATCACCTACTGTAGATTATACACTCTGGATAGGTACCTTATACCACCCCATATCAAACCATCCAAACTATAGCCAAACCAAACGTAGCGTTATTCAAAGCAAATGTTACCTGAGCCACACCAAGGTTTTGCTGTTCTCTAGGGCATCGGCAAGGGCTTCTGCTCCTACATCTCCTATCTTGTTGCCCCATAGCCTGGGGATATAAGGATTGTAGGTACGTTTATAGAAATATCCCACCAATGAGATGCATTCACTTGTTCAGGAGGACTTTTACCCTAAATACTGCAGTGAGTGGTTGCATTTCAGTCCCTCTGCCAACTGCTTTGCTCCTTCTTCTGTTAGATTATTGTTGCCTAGCCTGAAAGAAAATAGAGAAGTTCATTTCCCATCCATTTTACAGTAAATGTACTGTATGTGGTACAAGTTAGATTTAGTGTGACAGTTAGTGTGTATGCGCTGACCTCAGAGAAACAAAGTTCTGCTTTATCTGCAGAAGGCGAGAAAAGTGCTGTGTGCATGCATCCGTTAGATTGTTGTTGAAGAGCCTGCAGACATACAAATGGTCATGAAATGTTATTGTTCAAACATCACTTGTGATTTCCTGATCATCTTGACATCACTTACGCAATTTTCTTGAAGTTTTCACACTGGATAGTTTTAGCAAGTAGTTTGCGGATCCCCTCGTCTGTGATGTTATTATTTCTGAGGCTGAAAATTGAAGTATATAGGAAACTTGAGCAGTGGTGGAAGAAGTATTTCGATATTTAATGTAATAATAGCATCTTGTCGAAATACCAAAAGTCCTGCATTCAAATTGAAAGTTAAAATGTTTTGGCACCAACCTAAAGTTAAAGTGCTACGTATTCTGAACGGTCAAATACAAATATATATATTCAATTAGGATATCATATTTGATGCAATAACGACTATGTTAATGTAATAATGCGGCTGGTAGAGATGAGGTTTATTTCTTACTAATTATAGTGCAAACTGAATAATTAACTTAATATTGTATTAATATATGATTCTGCAGAAAAGCTACTAACTCAATGTGTCAAATAAATATTTTGGCATAAAAATGTACATTATTTTCTTCTGAGATTTAGTGGAGTTGAATTATATAGTAGCATAAAATAGGAGCATAAGATCTTGAGTAAATGTACATAGTGACTTTCCATCATTTCACTTAAACATGACATGTATTCTTTCCTTTAAATAATGCTAGTGTGGAAGCTTTGTTCACAAAAATGTACAAATGGAAATAACAATCTTAACTTGTCATACTCACTATAGGGAATTGCAGATGTGCATGCAGGGGAGGAGCTGCTCCACTCCAACGTCGCCCACAGAGTTGTTGTCCAGCTGCAGGCCGACAGGATTCCTTAAATGCTGCAGCACATAGGCGAGAGCCGTGCACTCTACAGGACCGATGTTACAGTAGGTCAGTTTCAGGTGGTCCACCTCCAGCTTACTCATGGCCTCTTTAGCAACCCTGTCCTCCTGCATCTCATAGATGCATTTGATAAGCCAGACGAAGCCTGGCATTGCATGCATGCTCTTCTTCTCCCCCTCTACGGGCTGAGGGATGGACTTGAAGTGTTTCTGCATGCCTTTGGATAAGCATTTCACCACCTGTCTGACCCTCTTCTCCATCACAGCGCTGGGGCAGCAGTGGAGCCACAGGCTTCGATGGCGCTGTGACAGAAGTCCAGACACAAAGGTGGCTGTGATTTGCTGATTCGGCGTTTCAGCGGCTGTAGTTTCCCCCCCTGAAGGCCGCTGTGGTTGGTCAGTAGAAGGCAAGCAGGCGATGAAGCATCTGCTGCTCTGACCTGCCTCCTTCATTTTCCGCGTCTCAAAGAGCTTAGGGATAGTTGAGCGGTCAGTGTTATCCGACAACACGATGTACAGAGCTGCAAAGAAACATTGCATAGTCAAGTGAAGGAATTCATAACCTTCAGCGTGGGTGGATATATCTTTACTCTGCATGAGAAAACCCATGCAGATGTCCTTCTCAGTCACACCACATGTCTCCAAGTCTGTGCCTGAGAAGATGTAACAGGTTGCTCCTATCCCATCAAAGGCAAGCTTCCCAAGATGCAACACAGTTTGCAGATGCTGCTCAAGCCAACATAGCCCTGCAGTGTTCTTCAGGGAGCTTTTGTGCTGGAAAAAGTTCTGCAGGATCATTAGGTAAACGTCTGTGATTGTTTGTAGGCTGCCCTCTCCACAGCCTAACAACTCTTTATGGCACTGTGAGACGATCCAGCACAGGACTGGACTATGACACAGTCCGAGTAACGCAGTGTTTGTCCGCAAGGACTCCAAAACCTTAGCAGCCACATGGGCGTCGCTGTGATGCTTCCTCACAAAACAGTCAATCCCACTTGGGGAAAAGCCTTTGAGGAGGACCTCTTTGCAGAGATGTCTCTTGAACAAAGGGCCCGCCGCCTCTGGGCGACTGGTCACCACTTTCCTCACACCCTTCATTAGGGAACCCTGGATTAAGTTGAAGAGTAGGATGTGAACAGGAGCACGCTGGGTGGGGCAGCAGAGCCTGTGCTCATCTGAAAAGCTCTGCTTCAGCTCATCCAGGCCATCGAAGGTGAAGAGGATGAGATGTGGGTGGTCCAGGATGAACTGGAAGATCTCCTCCTGCTGTCTGTCCGGCCAGCAGCAGTGCTGAAACAGCAGCTCCTGTAGAGAGAGTTCCCTTTGCTCGGAGTTCAACCTGC